CGACAACCATCGACCTTTAATCACAGTCTATACAATAGTATATTGTATAGTATATTGTATGTTATTTAGATCAAAAATGAGGTTATGATTTCAATAAACTATTTATTATTATTAATATTACAACACTGTTACTGCAATATTGTTTTACACGTGACACTATAAAAAAGAAAATGTGCCTTTGAGAAGGGAGCTTGGAATTGATTAATAAGAATTACTATAAAAATGTTAGAAATGCAGTAATTTTTTTTGTTTGTTTTTTGCGAGTTTTATCCTGTAGAATGTTGTCAGGGAGAGTTTTCCATGAACTGTTACATTTACGCATATCCCCGAATAGTGAAGTTTTACACAAATTTCCCATTTTTTGGCGAATATAGATGAATAGACGATTTTCCGTTCACTGCGAGATCCCGCGTTATGCGTGAAATCGAACATGAAAACAGGACAAACCAGGGGGGAGTTGCATGACACGATTGGTTGAAATAATCGTCTCATTTGCACAAATTAATATTCATGAGCAATGAAAAACTCGTCTTTTCAGTAAAATTGTGCCAAAATGCTTTCCGATAGCATACATGTTAGTTCTAAATTGACTGATTCTATCGTTACCAGCTGAAAAAATAATCGGAAAAATGATGTAAAAGTAATTTTGAGACACGTACCTCGATCGGACTCCAGCTAACTATTGAAAGTAAGCCCAGGTTTTCTCTTTACCATGATCATAGCAAGTTGCGATATTCATGGAGAATGCAGAGGCACGTTCAAATTTCACTCTAGTACTATTGCTCAAAATTGCTCAAAATGTTTTCGGTGACTTTTATCAGTGACAAGTTTCCTAATAGACCATTTTCCTTACACTATTAGCATATTAGTATGCATTTCGAGAAACCATAGTGTGTGTGCATGCGCAGTTTGAAATAGAACAGTTTTGAACGCAATAAAATCACGCGTAGAACTCAGGCTCCAGCAAGAAATTGTGGCGTCAAACTGGTTGTCGGTTGAATTGTTTTGCAATAGACATAATTTTGGAGCCTGTATTTGTCTATGAAATTGTTGTTGAGGATTATTCTGTAAAGAAATTGCTGAAATTATTTCATCTGTTTGTAAATGGGACGTTGTTGCTTTGACGATGGGCTACGGACCCGGGACTACGGACGACTGACGTCGAAACGTTCCATTCAGATC